TCCTTCTTGATTTTGCGCTGCTGCGTTTCTCAGGCTAACGTGTTGCGCCTTGATTTGAATTTATCTGAGATTAAAGAATGCCCCCAACGGTCAACAAGTGACTTTTGGTGGCGACATTCACCGCGTGTGTATCAGAACGAATGCCTATTGATGGCAGATAAAAAGCAGCAGCAGTTCGAGCATGCGAGTTTTGCATTCAACGGCCATATAAACATCTTACGATCCCTACGTGTGTTAGAAGTATTCCTATCTCAATTAGTCCAACGTCCATTTCACAGAGCACGCTCTGCAATTTTCATCCAACAAGAAGCTGCCTGTGCTTTGTTGAACGGCTTTGACCTGTTCTACCCTTCTAGGAGTCAGCAGGTAGGCTTTCTTATAAACATGCTACAACAACTGCAAATGCAAGCCCAAACACAACAACAACTTCCTTCCAAAGGGGAAATTGCACAACGTTTCCTTCTTGAAAAACTTTTAGAGAAAATAGCACGAGAAAACCTTGCCACTTACATTATTCCTGTTTATAATGTCACTTCCTCTGCTCACAAAACAAAAAAAATGTTTAGCTTCCTTAGTTTGCTGCTACAACACTCAAACGGGTCCACACGCAAATTCCCAGGTGAGTTTGAAGGCGGGGCAGAAACTTTGCCACCTCTTTGTAAAAGAGTGTTACTCGCTATGCAAAAACAGCTCATGGTATGTGCCGCAACAGCTCAGATCCGCTGTGGTGCAGAACGCCGCAGTTGCCTCAAACTTAATACTTGCACCGCAGTAGAATTTTCAAGTGAATCTTTGATTGAATCGGCGTCAAAGCAACAGACTGTCGAGGAGCTTAAATTGTCTTCTTGCGCGGAATGCTTAGCGAAATATGCACTCATCTTGATAGAATCGCATTTAGACTTACCCGACGGGCGGCTAGCAGATGAGAACACGCCTCGTGAAGGTCATCTGCGATCATCAGATAGTTGTCGGATCTTACTATCCCTAGCCACCGGCTTGATTCATTTTGCTTATCTGCCAGGCCTCGGGATCGAGCTTATATGGCCCGTAGCTCAGTTGCTCACGCTTGTGGATTCCATTGATCTTGGGTCAATCCAAGCTGTTCAACAGGAACCGGCATCGAAGTTGCGTGCTAGTTGGCTCGTAGGGGTCGAGATGAGCTCGCTCCTAAATGACTTGACAAAAACCCTGGCTACACTTGCTGGCAATCTGGCCGCTTCATTTTTTACAGACATGGACACACAGCCGTTGGGATACCTGCATTGGCTTGGTTCAAGTCTGCTTAGATTGGGTGTAGAGCCGAGGTATCACCACATGTTGGCGCGTGACGCCACAGTGCCTACTGAGGCGATTACCGTCAATGCTGTTGAATCGCAGGCGTGTGATTTTCGATTTGAAATGACAAGCGATTACAACAAACGCACGTGCTATGGGCTCTATTGCGCTTGGCTCCGCTCAGCTCTGTGTGGGATTGACCGGACTTATGCACTGGTGGTACGTCAGATTAGATCCTCAACAGACGAGGTGACCTTTATTAATATTGAAGAAATGGCCGCGTCGGCACTGCTAAAACACAACAATCTCACGATGCAGGCTGAATTTTATGCGCTGACAAGATTTGGTCAGGTTTCCAGTGAACATAATTCTTCGCATGTTCCTGGGCGTTTCCTTGCTATCTGGAGTGTAGTTGCTCGACTGACCACGTGGATATGGCAACAACGGAGCAAAAGCGACTCATGCGAGTTCGAGTCTTTACTGTCGAGGATTTTGGCATCTCTGCATGCACTCATGATCTTCCGAAGTGACAGCCCTTGTAGCGTCAGCTTGACCTACGTACCCGGGTTCCGACAGCGAAAGAGTCGGCATACAGATGCGACTGTATGCTGGCGACGTGCATTCGTCAAGGTCCGGGTTGTTGTTCGATGGCGAATGCTTTACTGCACACACACGTCAATTTTGATTTCCCCCCTCATGAAATCACGGCAGTTTCCCCTGCGATGTAAATGCGAGATCCTGAATTTCGTCATCGAATTAGTTAATTACAAAAAATCGCCAGATTCGAATCCAGTATTCTCCCTTCTTACAAGGATGGCTAAGGAGCATTACCATCTATTTTTGTGGCGGACTGGAATCAAAGCATATTCCACACTGATGGGCTCGCTCCAATCCCACTCATCAGTGTCCATAATACTCTCGACCTTCCACGAAATCCTGCAACGTAGCAATGTGTTTTCTGGTTTGAAACCACAATTGTCGACTATTCAGACAATACTCTCGGTGGACATTTGTATAGCGGCCAGACAATCATGCGAGGATTTCTTCCGGGGCCTATCAAACCATTTAAATTGTCTCGATCAGAGCACAGGGTGCGCCACGGCTGTAAACCCGTTTTCACTTCGCGTTGATTATGCGCGCACAGTGGTGATGATATTGAATTTGTGGGGCACTAAACATACAGAGGCGGATTGGTCATATTTAAGTCATGCGGGTGTTCTCCCTGACCTCCACAAGTTGTTTGTGAAGCTGTATACCTCCCTAACAATAAAATTGCCTTACAACAAGACACACGCGTTCGGCTTGGGATCCCAAGTGCGCGCTCGCTTGGAGGAGTCAAATTCCATTCTCTGCGACAGAAGCCATTTGAAAACGTGTCTTTGTGCGACGTGGGCCTTAATACGACACTTCGGGGCGTCCATTGGTAGTGCCAATGTCAGTGCGGGGAACACCGACCTCTCGTGCACGGATGTCCCGGAGCAATTTCTTTCCGTTATATACGATCTAGCGAGGCGCTCACTTGTACGACTCAATTCTGATGAGACGCGATTTACAGATTATCGGAGTGATCAAAGCGGGCTGGAAGCACAAGCCGGCTTTCACTTTGATGCTAACCAGGGTCGACGGTGTCATGAGCTCATATCTGCACCCATGCGATTTATGAACATGGAGCCTGGGGTCGTTCTTTCGCCTGGGGAAGTGTTATCATACCCTTGCGGGCCGGACTTCTCAATAACCTGCTGGCTCCTTCTGACACAAGACTCGACGGGATATTACCGTTCCTTATTTTTTCGTGGCCTTAGCAGAGACTCCTGGCCGATAGTCCTCCTTCGCGACCTTGATTTGAGACTAGAAGTTGGGTATCTCGACGAAAATAGCGGCGCTTTCTGTAAGCTAATTACTTCCAAAGATGCTTGCCCACTAAATGCGTGGATTCACATCGGCCTCGTATGTGAGGGCTCCAAACTGCGTCTGTATCTGGATGGGTCACTTGATGCCCAGCAAATTAATTGCGAAGCCCGACCATCCACTCGGCATCCATTATATGTTGGCAGAGTGCCCGACGGGGGCTTTCCCATACACGGCGTGCGCGGAGGCATAGAGGGATCGCTTGCTAATCTACGCTTCTACACGCGAGCACTCTCCCCCATTCATGTACGTGTCCTCTGTGACCAGGGTGCCCCGGAAGAATTTTGCTTTCACGATCGCTTGTGCAACCAAATTTGCGCGGCTGTCTTTTTACTCACCTCGTCTGACTTATTTTTAAAAGCATTACGGCACTATGATTGGCTGAATTTACTGTTCAATTTCTATCTTTTTGGCACTGCTAGAGTACAGCAGGCAGTCGTTCGCATTCTGCGATACTTGCTACCGACCATATCACCCACAGAAGTTGCCACATTGAAGGAACGCTATGATTGGTTAGGAAAGTCAGCACATAAAAACGTCATCCTAGACTATGAGACAGGAGGGGCAAAGTCAAATTTCTTGAACTATTTGTTAGCCATTATTGGCTGCTCTACTTGGAGATTAAAGCCCGCGTACCTTCACGAAGGTTTGCTGATTTCCTCCGCTGCCCAAGAAGCACGTCTGAACCTGCCCTCACCCCGACTTCTAACTAGGTGTTTTGCGCAGATTGAAGGGAGATCCAATGATTATTTGAGTGTAAAGGATCTTACGGATATCTGCACATTATCTCGTGAAATGATGTGTTTGATTCAGCTATTGTCATGTGCGCCAAAGTGGCAGGAAATTACCTTTAAAATTTTAATCAGCGCACTATCACAGGCTCGGATCTTCATCGAGACAAGGCCGGGCGAAAGCCCAGTATTTTTGTCTCGGTGCCTGGCTACCTTGTGTACACTTGGTGGGGATTCTGGAGGTATCCAGAGGGGCTCTACGATCGTCCTCGCTAATAGTGGGACTTATGCGACAGTCATTGACTGCGATGAGTACTCTTGCTCGGCACAGGTGATCACATCTAAGGAATCCAATGCCTTTCTACCCCCCCAAGGCTACCCCGATTTTTTCACGAAACATTCACCATGTACTAGTAGTGATAGCATGCATTTGAAACGCCTAGCATTGCACTCTTGTCCGGTAAGCAACATTCCAGGCCTAGTCTCTGTTGACTTCGACCAGATGTTGGTCCCACTGACTTCAATCGATGCCTGGAGAGCAGTCACGTCCCGCCATAACACCAGTATCCTCACTATAGTGGTGCCATGCGTGCTCAACTTGCTGCGGTTACTGAGCGCCAACGACTTGGCTATCACGCACATGAGAAGTAGTGCCGCTTCGTTTCTGCTCGACCAACTGCGTTCGAGATCGGCCAAGGTTCTCTGGATGTTCACCTCGTGTCCTACGTTGTGTGAATTTATGACATGTCAGAAGATGCTTATGCAAACGCTCCTGCATGCATGCACACAAGTAAGTCTTTTATCATGCCGCTATGCGCAGTTTGAACGACGCACCATTTAGGCTGATTCAACGCCCTTCTTTGTCACATTGGATGATGCAGAGTCTCGAATCATTGCTCTCAGGAAACGCGTGTACCAGGTTGTACGGTGCGATTGGATATAAACTTTTAAAATTTAATTATATTGTGCAGACTTCTGGCCGATAACGGTGCTCCCTCGGGACCAGTGCTGCCAGAAGATGTCCACACGACGGAAGTTGACACCAGCCCTTCAGAAATCACAAAGCCCAAGGTGCAAAATGAGACAATTGCATCCGGTGACACTAGATAACTCAGGGGTTGAGTTTGATGAAGCAAAGGCATAGGACACTACCTAGCGAGCACGCAGACATAGTTGGAGCAGTGCAGTTTGTCAAAGGTACTTTACAAGCTGATGCCGCTCGCAGTCGAAGAAGTATTCCTCATCGCCGACAATACCCCATGGCTCCATTGATCCACAGAGATCAGGTTTTAGCAATGTGTAAGGAATACTACTTCCCTGAGGAACGTAGTTCTTGCATGAACAGATCACCTCGAAGAATCTTTGAGACAAAAATTGAAGCCGTTGGGCTGGACTGGAGCCGGCTGCACAATACCAGCAAGACCGCGGAATGTACATTAGCATACCTCTACATACGAGCATTGTTGATGCGAATGCTTGGCCAGCACGTGGTGGATTCTGATGTCAAACCGAACAAATACACAACACCAGAGACTCTGTTGAGGCTGATACAATTACTCACATTTCGTGGATGCCAGCTGCCCCTGACTGCTGCCGCTGTCGAAACCAAGCTGCGACGGGCGATAGGATTCGCGTTGCCATCGAGCTCTCAAAAATTGTGCGTCAACTTGCTGCCGTTGGAATCACCAGAATTCTCAGTCGATTTGGTCTCTACAATACAATCTTACTGCATCATCACATTTGAGGCTGCAGCATATCTTGAGTCGCACGCATCATCAAACTGGGCCTCACCGGAAGTTTTAGAATTCCATGATATTGATGCACTTTCAAAGCTCAATGTTGCGCGCGGACACTGGCTGGTCACATTGCTACTTGCTAATGGCACAAAGTTATTCTCTTCTTCGAAATTGTTTGTTAGGCTCTGTAATTGCATGCGGTCTGTAAATGCTTCTTTGAAGGCTACAATTTGCAAAACTCTCATTGAAATATTGGTCGTCTGGCATGAGTCAATATTGAGAGTGCACACCGATGTTCCTCTACCGTCAAATATGTTTTTCCTGAAGCTATTCCGGGAGAGCAGCTTCATTCCACACATGCGTTTGAGCATCGAGAAACGCATTGCATTGGAAAGACGGCAACGTCGATTATCGTTCTCGACATATGTGCAGACCACAGTGCATGTTCTCGCCGCGCTCAATTGCTTAGAAGAACGCTTTGTGACTCATTTTTCTAATGCAGGCCAAACCCTCGAGAAAGTTTTGCCGCCAAAATTAGTATGCGCCATGCCATATGCACTGCATTTAATGTTGGATGCGAGTGGACACGAGTTGAGTCGCACCTGCGTGTACGAATTACGATTATCAGAGGCAATCTGTGGGATGAACCCAAGCCAGGAATCTTATCGTCTAGTATATCGAGGGTCCCACATGCATGCCATTGTAGGGGACCTGATGCCCTCGAGGGCTTATCACTTTAAACTTCGCGTTATAGCAACCACGGGAGTGCCCCTGACGACATATAGCGAAAGAGTTTCTTACGAAACGTCAACCGGGTCACCGTGTGTCTTCGACAAAGGTAAATGTGGTACTGACATTCTCGTAAGTAAAGACGGTCTAACTTCCATGTATGTGGGCAACGAGTCTTGGTCCACTATCATGGGCAGCACTCCCCTGATTGCAGGTGTAAATACGTGGGAAATCACTATAGAAGCATCTGAAACGTCGTATTTATTCATCGGTGTTGCCCAAAAGTCTGCTGACCTTCAGACATTCCTCGGTGGCGATGATTGTTCCTGGGGCTTCATTGGAGACAGGGCTCTTTACCACAAGCGAACAAAACTGAAAATGTATGGCGAGCGCTTCGGTGAAGGCGATGTGGTTACTGTGTCTCTTGACACCAATTTTTGTACACTGTCATTCCAAAAAAATGGTATTGATCTTGGCGTCGCCTTTAAAGGCCTCAGTGGTGATCTGTACCCTGCCGTGGCGTTCTACAATAGAGGTCAGCGGGTGCGATTGGCTCTATCGCCAAGCATGTCACCAGGGGCCGGAATTGTGATTGCGCAGTCCCCATGTGCGTATGGGATTGATGACTTCTTCCACTTTTTGAAAATAATGCTATCAATCTCCATCCAGGGCAGTGTGCAAGTCAAATCATGCTATCGTGTGTATGAAATACATAAACGGTGGTACTCTGGCTTCTTGAAATGGGCCACAAGTGTAGCCGGATACTCGCTTCTCATCGATGACTCAGATGCTGCGTGCTTCCAACATGGGGTCGTAGCAGGGCAGCAGCTGAAAACTCCCCGTGGTATTGCATCTGTTAGGGGGGTTGGCTCCGGTCTTCTGTGGTGTCACTGCAAACCTGAGACTGGTCTGTTTTTCCTTGCCCATCCTGAAGCTACACGCGCACACGAGCCACGCTGCAAAGTTGCCATGGATTTCGAACGCTATAGCGCTATTCTCACTAGGCAACACAACATCAACATTGACAGAGTATTGATTGATGTCATTGACACTCTGAGCTTGTTCTACCATGCAAATCCATGGAATGTAGCACCCCGCAACATTATCGAAGAGTTTCGTTCACAATCCCTCCTCAAAGTAAGCGAGATATTCGATGAGCAGGATCTACTAGACTCTGTCCTCTGTCGTGCTTCTCTTTTACTTTCTTTCAACCAGGAAGTTCCATGTTCACTTCCATTTCTTATGCATGCTAGCAATCTCGGCAATCAGAGGTTTACCAAAAGCTGGATCACAGGTGGTCTTTGTGAAATAAAATATCCAAGCCTGGTCCTGTCTTTAAGTCGGAATTACATTTTTGCATTCACAAAAAAAAACATATTTAATCAGTATATTAGATACACAACAGCTCAGGCAAAGAAGGCTGAAGACGACTATGACTACCCTGATGATTTGCCCTTGGTCGTCTTAAATAGGCGCAAAGCGCTGGTAGACCCCATGGCAGCACCCGAGGTGCCTCAAAAAGCTTATTCTCTCATCCTAAGTAGTTTTACATTTGTTTTTGTGCAGCTACGTTTGTCATCGTCAGTATTTGGGCAGTTGTTTGATGAGTTACACTTTCTCGAAGCGCCGCTGTTGCGGATGGGCTACATGCATCCTATGGACGATGGGCAGGAACGCACATTTAAGGTTAAATTCGATGGGGAAGGTGTAGACGACTATGGTGGTCCATATCGTGAAGTATTTGCCCAGATACCATCTGAGTTGCAAGCATTCAAGTGCTCTCCAGACAGCAGTAGAACTACGTGTTACCTTCCGGTGTTCCAGCCAACGCCAAATACTGCCAGTGACACTGAGTTGGATGTTCCAAAGTTCATTCTACGTCCTCAGTACACTGCCCCAATGTATTTGGAGTTGTGTAACTTCCTGGGACAATTAGTTGGTATCGCTTTGCGCTCCAAGGTCAGTATATCACAGCGCACACGCCTTTGTGGGCACACGCGCTGCCATAGGCACTGATGCCACTCGAATTCCCCCCCATCATCTGGAAGGTGCTAGTCGGCGAAGATGCAAATGCACATGATCTGGCAAGTTTTGATCGCGATGCCCTCATGATGTTAAAAAGAATAAGTGATATTTATGAGGCATGGTGCAAAGATGACATACGCCCGCGAGAAACGCCAGCTGATCCTAGTGCTGGCTTCTTTTGGGTTTCAAATCTCAGCGATGGCACTAGTGTAGAGCTGCACCCCAGCGGAAGTTCCGAACTTGTGAATATGTCTGATATTCCTCTCTTTCTTAAAGTATCGAGCGAGTGTCGTTTGCAGGAGAGTAAGTTTGCTATGCTCGCAATGCGGACCGGTGCGCGACCTCTTCTTTCTTAAACTCAGGATTGTACCGCACAGGGCTTTCATGTGTGATCCCGCCTTGCGTGTTACAGCTTCTGAGCTGGGCGGAGCTCGAAAAAAAAGTGTGTGGAACTCCAGGAATAGACATAGAACTGCTCAAACAAAACACAGAATATGATGACGATATTCAACCTAATGACAACCACATAACATTGTTCTGGTATAGAATCAAGCACTGAATCACATTGCTTAGTGCCCTCTCCCAGGGATGCGCTCCGTTCATTTACTGGCCATGAGCGTTCTATTTTTTTACGCTTTGTTTGGGCGCGCACCCGGCTGCCGCCTACCCAAATGGAGTTCACCCAAAAGTTTAAGATACAGGTGATTCATACCAGAGGATGGATACCAAACTCATTTTGGCTTTAGGCTGCCATAGGCGACGGTCCACGAGAGAGCCCAAATAAATATCTCCCCAAAGCCCATACTTGCTTCTTCTCATTGAACTTGCCGAAGTACTCGTCCCATGAGGTTGGTTCATATCTCACTCACTTAGCCTTTTGAATGTCGATATTTATTTCCATAGGTTATGGTAAGTAAGCTGCGGTATGCCATGTTCAATTGCATCGAGATGGACGCCGATTTCAAATTAACAGACACAGAGCTTGCGGCTTGGTCATAGTCCCTCCCCCAAAGATACAAGATTACCCATCGGCAAATTGTCCGAGCAGCAGGCCCCGCGGCCGGGGTAGCGGGTAGTAGTTGATGTGCCGGTGGTAGGGTGCGAACCGCCCGGGCTGGGCCGCAGTGGGACCTGGGCTTTAAAGCCGGCGGCATGTGTCCCTCGCGCGGGGGAATGGGGTGGCCGGACACAAGGACCCGACCGCAGATCGCCAACCATTACCGCCGCCAAGCGCGCAATTAAGTTTGCGATGTATATTCAAAGAACTTGAAAGTGTCTTGCAAGAATTTTCTGTAATTCAGCCGAACTATTGTGCCCTTGATTTATTTCAAGTGCTTTTGACACCATTGCGAAAGCACCCTGGAAATTTCCGAGTTTGTATGCGAGCAATGCTCCATTAAAATAAGGCTGAAAAAGGTGAGGGGCAGTCTCCTGCGCATTGAGAAAGATAGCTTGTGCTGATTCAATTCTGCTCTTTTGTAGCTCAAGAATACCAAGATTACACAGACTTTCGGCGTGTCCTCTATCTAGAGAAAGCGATATTTTGAAAGATTGGTAAGCCATGTCAATGTCGCCAATACCGATGCCTACGTGCCCGATATTATACCAAACATCTGCAGAATCGTCAGCAAGTTGAAGCGCTCGATCAAAACATCCAAGAGCCAAATCAAATTGCGAAGAGTAAAAGCAGCAAAGACCGAGATTGTTCCATATCTCGGGACCAGAAACACCCATTTGAAGAAGGCGGCGATAATAACGAAGACTCAATTCCGGCTGGTGGGAATAAAAGTAGTTTGCTGCAAGACAGGCCAGCCCTTCTACATTCGATGCATCTAGCATCAAAACTCGTTGATAAAAAACAACACTGGGCCCCAAAGCGTACATCATCTCATGAATTCTTGCAATGCCCAACTGTAGGCGAGGCTCTGTTGGGGCTTCTTCCACGGCCTTCTGCAACGCTTTCAGAGCAGTATTAGGCTGATCGAGGCGCAGGTAGACCTTTGCTAACTCAAGTACCGTCGTTGTCATGTTTTGGTCACGCAACGAGGACAAGAGTTGGCGTTCTGAATCTCTGTATAGGCCAAGGCGATAGTAACACTTCGCAAGCCGACATTTCCACCACCAATCTTTGAAACAGGCTTCCTTTGTGGCTTCTGCACATAACTCTAGCGCGCGCGTCACATTGCGCTCGTGATAGATGAGGTAATCACATATGGCTTTTGCCATCGCTGTCCTGCGCACCAGTCGGGTAAACTCCAGTCGTTCAATGTTTAAGAAGCCCCCCCCTGGCTGAGCCGCTACTGATGCAGTTCCAAGTCTGACCTCGCGACCTAAAGTGGTTACAGGGCGTCCTTGGCCGGTTGCTGTTGCTGTATTGCGAAGTGCAAGCAAGACCCCAGTCTGTCCCGTTATAGGACGGCAAGCAGAGCCCGGCTTGGCGAAACCAGTCAAAGGGCGTCCAAAGGTTGAAACGGGCCGAACACACTGATCTGCGGCGTTTACCGTAGCTGCAGTGGCAGGGCGCATTACGGATGTTCCAGGCCTATGTGATGTCAACACCAATAATTTTGGGAGTGCGCACTCTTCATACCTTGGCATTGAATCCACTGCGTTGTCATCAAGCATTAGATCCGCAAGGCCTTCATCCTCTAGTTCCGTGTCGTCAGTCCAGTTTCGGGCGCTCAATGAACGGCACTTGAAAAATACAGCCGCTTGGTCTCTTGGCTGAATCTGCAAGAGCTCAGTGCATGCAGCCGAGCATTTGTCGTACTGACGTCTGCGATAATGCATCATGGCTACCCAAAGCTACGCAAACTGGAATTGGATAAGTCAAAGAGACGTACTTACCAGATCGGTTTCCTCCATAATCTGAGCGCAGATTCAAGAGTCGGGGGCGCAAAAAAAACGGCACTTTTTTCATGCTTGCAGAGACCAAAAAAAGAGGAAAAAGAGGGGAAAGAAAAAAATCGGCGCCGGAGGCGCAAGAACGGCGCCGGAGGCCAGAAGGCGTAAAAAAAAGAAGTTGGGGACCTTGCTACGTCCCTCGAGCCCCGTGAGAGCGGTACAGAAGTGCGTCGTATTTCTGACACAGCGACGTAGAGTCTCCTCTACTGAGTCGGAGGATACTGTAAAAGGCGTTGTAAAGGAATGTAAGCTCCTTCACTGTAGACTATAAAGGTAGATATTTACACTGCCCGATACACCGCCGGGATATAGAGGCACTAAGCCGGTGAGCTGCCTATGCATCTCCCAGACTCCTCGGTCACTAAAAGTGTGCAAGAGAAAGAAAGGCGGCTGCTGGAGTTTTGGCCATTCGCTGTTGCGCCTCGACAGGAGGTCGGCAGTGAAATTTCCCGGTGAAGGTTTATACTCAGCAGCCTTTGTATGCAGTGTCCTCAGAGAAGACCCAATCGTCAATGCTAAGTCCTGGGGCTCATCCGAAATTTCTCCTTGCCTCCGAGTCCGCAAACCTAAGCTCATAACGCCACGGCTATGGTTCACCTGGTCTGATCTGGTCTCTGCATCCTCTCGGCCAATCGCTGTTGCCGAAGAATGGACTACTCCACACTCCGATTCATTTGAAATCACCTAGCAAGAGAGAAACTCATGTGCCCCAGCTTTGCCTTCTCTACTTCCCCTGAAGAGAAAAATATATAATTTGTACAAGACTCGTAACGATTTTTAGCTGGCTCGAGGATGAAGCTTAAACGATTTCTGTTGGTGGGTCCCACCATTTTTCCATAATTGATCGTTCACCAAAGAGGTATTACCCGCCCGGGGTTATTCTGGAGTATGAGTTACGAGACAAAAGTCGCGAAACGAAAGAAATCGATTTACTTCACCTTTCCCCCGAGTATGTAAAGTTATGTGTGTTGAAAAGTCCATCTGCGTCTAGGACTGATGTCGAAGTTCTTGTGAATCAAGTCACTTTTGAAGAGCCATTAATCAGTGATAATCGAAAACCACAGCTACGACGCTTAATCTACAGTACGAAAATAAGGCTATGTCCTGATAACTTCACGAATTTGTCACAGAACTGATTGAAAAACTTGAAAATAACGAAAATAGTGACTACTATCTATTCAAAATTCTCAGGGCGCATATTCTGCCTCTGACGAATTGCGCATTTAACAAGCAAGGTGACAAATTCATCACTGGAAGTTATGACAGAACTTGTAAAATCTGGCGAACTGAAACTGGGGAAGAATTGCTGACTCTTGAAGGTCATCGTAATGTGGTTTATGCGATCGCGTTCAACAACCCCTGGGGTAATAAAATCATAACAGGATCTTTCGGTATGTGCCCAGCCTACAGCGTTGTACAATTGCCCCTATGTAGACAAAACGTGCAAAATCTGGAATGCAGATAATGGTGACCTCTATCATACGTATCGTGGACATGCCACCGAAATTGTTTGCTTATCCTTCAATCCTCATGGAATCATTGTCGCAACTGGTTCCATGGACAACACGGCCAGGCTGTGGGACGTGGAGTCCGGGGAGTGTCTGCATACACTACTTGGCCACACTGCAGAAATCGTGAGTTTAAATTTCGACACCAGCGGACAGAAAATAATAACGGGCTCGTTTGATCACACCGTCAAGGTCTGGGATGTAAGGACTGGTCGTTGTATTCACACATTGGCTGGGCACAATGGTGAAATCTCAAGCACGCAGGTTTGTTCTACTCTAGCGTCCTGAAACGGATTTGTCACCTTCGTAGTTCAACTACCAATCTGATTTGTGTATAAGCGGCTCCATCGACCGTACATGTAAGGTTTGGGATGTTTCCAGTGGCCAGTGTGTGCATACACTTCGAGGCCATAATGATGAAATTCTGGATGTTTGCTACAATGCTACTGGCTCAAGGTTGGTGACAGCTTCTGCTGATGGGACATCTCGTGTATTCAACACCATGACTGGAGCTTGTCAGTCCATTCTAATTGGCCACGAAGGCGAGATTTCAAAGGTTGCATTCAACCCCCAAGGTGTGAGAATTCTGACTGCAAGCAGTGACAAGACGGCGCGCCTATGGGACATGGAAACTGGCGACTGTCTTCAGGTGAGAATCCATCAATTAATTCTCGATCACGCGGGTGCATCGTAGATCCTCGAGGGTCACACTGACGAAATATTTAGCTGTGCATTTAACTACAGCGGCGACACCATCATCACAGGTTCCAAGGATAATACATGTCGCTCG